TTCCTCCACAGGCGGGCAGTTTCATAGGCAGAGAATTTGGAGCCGGTAACACTCATGTCCAGTAGTGATGTATGGAAGTGAGAGCTGGACTATAAAGAAGGCTGATCGCCGAAGAATGGATGCTTTTGAATTATGGTGCTGGAGGAGACTCTTGAGAGTCCCATGAACTGCAAGAAGAACAACCTATCCATTCTGAAAGAAATCAGCCCTGAGTGCTCACTGGAAGGATAGATCGTGAAGCTGAGGCTCCAAAACTTTGGCCACCTCATGAGAAGAGAAGACTCCCTGGAAAAGACCCTGATGTTGGGAAAGATGGAGGGCACAAGGAGAAGGGGACGACAGAGGACCAGATGGTTGGACAGTGTTCTCAAAGCTACCAGCATGAGTTTGACTAAACTGCGGGAGGCAGTGGAAGACAGAAGTGCCTGGCGGCTCTCGTCCATGGGGTCACAAAGAGTCGGACACGACTAAACGACTAAACAACAACAACAACAACAACAACAACAACAACAACAACACTCATGTACTTTCTCCTCCTTATCGTGGTCTCAAGTAGACAATATATTTAGTCAAATGTGTGTGTGCACAAACACACAGAATAGCAACTTTCCAATTATTCTCAGGTGGATCAACACAGCATAAAATAGTCCCCAGATCAGTATGAAACATATTTGAAGACGAATCCACGCTGACAGAGAACTGTATCACTTCAACAAAATGCTTGCAGCACCTCATTTCCTATGAGCTTCATTATCTTTTCATAAACTGTGGACTCCGGATAAGATGAGTTTAACCCTCCCTCTTGTTGCTGAACATGGCAAACTGATATCAGGGAGTAATGGAGCACACAGAGCAATCTCTTCTGGAAACCACAAGAAATTTCCATTGATTGGGGAGAACAAATCAGTCCATTCTCCGCGCAAAAGGGAAAAGTCACACTCGAGAACTTGATTTGACGCAATTATCTCCTTTACTTCATGCACATAGTAGTGACACTCTCCCTGACATCAAGTTCTTTCTTTTTTTATATAATTTTTTTTATTAATTTTAACATATAAATTATAAAATGTACCACAAAACTTATCACTTATACAATCTTTTTGGACTTCCATCAGCACCTCTGATGATCCACCGTTTTAACCACTTCTTAACTTTATATTGCCTTTATATCTCTTAACAAATCATCCTCCCCCTTGTCCATTTTTACAATACTTCTAATAATACTCCTCACAAAACTTCTTGCAACCTTACAAACATCATCTGTTCTTCACAATTACTTTTCAAATAGTTCGTAAATTTACTCCAGTCTTCCGTGAATTTCTGGTCTCGCCGGTTTCGAATCCTTCCTGTTAGTTTATCTAGTTCTGCATAGTCCATTAACTTCATCCTCCATTCTTCAATTGACGGTAACTCTTCTTGCTTCCATTTTTGGGCCAATAATATTCTTGCTGCTGTTATTGCATATAAGAAGAGCTTACATTCCTTTCTATTTATATCACTCCCCACAATGCCCAATAGAAATGCTTCTGGTTTCTTTATAAATGTATATTTCAACATCGAGTTCTTTCACATAGTTTGCATCTGCTTTCTTTTCTCACTGGAAACCAAGCACACTGTCAGGCTTCGAAGAAAACACATTGGCAGAGGTTACTTTCCAAGCAGATTTGCACCACCAATGGAATCTCTTTGGGATGCTTGGAGACTAGTTTAGCTGGACTCCAAAGCCCAGTTACTGTGAATGAGGCCCTGCTGAATTGAATGGTGGGCATCAGTTTCTGGTACTCCAGATCGTGCCTCTCTGCCCCTTAGTCGACCCCGCAATGCTACACTGAGGGGGAATTTCAATTACCACCAGCAGTGCTGCCAGCAGGCTTCCATTTAAATGCCCCACTCCATAAAAAATGCAGGAGAAATTGCTTTGCAAAAATATGCATATTAGGAAAAACTGCATACAAACCTGTGTACGTTTTGATAAATTCACCCTAAAAATCTGATAAATTTCCTTGAGGATGTTTAGCTGGTGTGGAAATGTGGAGATATGAATTTAAGATTGGTGGGGGGGGGGGAATGAAAAACAAAGAGAAAACAAAATGGATAGATTTCCCATCCCACCTACTGCCTAATATACTTTAAATGAACATTCTGGGGAACTGAATTGGAGGAGTAATATAAAAGCCACCTTCTTTCCCCACAAAAGCATCTTCCATATGGAAAGCAGACAGAATGGACCTTTCCGGTGTGAAAGTGATGCAATAGTTGTCAAGTTGGCTGGTCATCTGTCAGTGATTCTTTGGCTGTGATTCCTGCATTGCAGGGCATTGGACTAGATCACCCTCTGGATTCCTTCAAACTCTACAATGCTATGAGAATAGACTGAAGAGGAGCTGCCAGTTACTGGGGCAACTGAATGTATATCTTTAGGCACCAAGCAAAGACTTTCCTTTATAACCAGGCCTTTGGCCTTTAACTACCTGTGGCCTTTTAGAAGTGGGTAAGATTTTTTAAAAACATATTTCTCCCCCCCACCCCGATTTTAATGCACCTTTGTGTGGGGGGGGTTGTTTTTGTTTATTTGGTTGGTTGGTTGTCGTAACTTTGGGCTGCCCTGGACAAGATAAAGCAACCAATTTAAGAAATAAACTTAAATTACATTTTAAAATAAGAACCACTGAGCTTGAAAAAAGCAAGTAATTTTTCTCCCTTTATCTTCCTCCCAGGCCTGCACAGAAATATCCTCACTGACAAATTTTCATGAGGAGTTTAACAAATTCACAAATTGCTGTGGAGAGCTGGAGAACTGAACTTAAATTTGGGAACTGGACCAAAATTGAAACTTGACTAATTGAACCTATGTCTGCCCCCACACCCCAAGAGCCTAGCCACTGTTTTGCACCTGGTCCCGAGGGAGGAATCTGAGTTTGTGGATGCTCTTGCACTCTCTTTCTCTGAATATATAAATGATCCTGCAAGCCTGATAACTGCCTGCCCCTGCGTTATCCTACATGAAGTCCTCGATCTCCAGATTCTTGCCTTAGCAGTCCAGTTCCTCTTCCACTACAGTGGTACCTCAGGTTGCATACGCTTCAGGTTAAAGACTCCGCTAACCCAGAAATAGTGTTTCAGGTGTAAGAACTTTGCTTCAGGATGAGAACAGAAATTGCGCGGCAGCAGTGCGGTGGCAGCAGGAGGCCCCATTAGCTAAAGTGGTGCTTCAGGTTAAGAACAGTTTCAGGTTAAGTACGGACCTCCAGAACAGATTAAGTACTTAACCTGAGGTACCACTGTACTACAGTTTCAGTTCTGAGCTACTCCTTCTCCCTCTGTGAGTTTTTCTCATGAAAAACTCCAGTGACCACAGTTTTTACATTTTCATTTTTCTGGTAGTACACTTGGCTGAGTTTCATTGTTCCTTAGTTAAAACGAAGCTCACAGAGGCCACTGCTTCTGTTCAGCACAGTGGAATCTTCTTGTCTAAAGTATTGGCATGATGGAGGGAGGGAGGAGAAAGGATTTTATGGGAAAGGGGGGGGGTGAATGCCAATTTGGAGTTTTCATGAGCCAGACACATATTAGGTCAAGCAGAGAGATCATTCTTATTGCAAAATGGATTTGAAAAAAGAAAAAGAAAAGAAAAAACCCTGGAGAGATGAGGGGGGAAATGGATGCATTGATTCTTTTAATAATGTTGATAAGATTTTCTGTGCAGGGGGAATGAATGACTCAGTCTTAAATTAATTGATAAAAGGGCAGAATACATGAAGCAGCCTTCGACTATTCAGACCACCGGACTAGGGGGAAAGCGTGATCACTTTCTGTGAATGCTTGCCTGCTGCAAGAAGTGCTCTCCCTATTCAGCCGTTTTTCCTGGGGGGTTCAAAACTGAGTGAAAGCATTTGTCCATAGTGCAGGGGCAGCTAGTAACACGTAAATGTATTGTGCAGGAAGGCGATTGAAAGACCTGCCACTGCAGCATGCTGGCAGGAACAATTTGCATTCCTGTTTGAAGCTGTGGTACAGCCCTCCTTCCCATGGCAATAGAAAACAATGGTTGAGCTCCTGCCAACCATTCAGAGTGAGGGCAATGCACCTCGCTCTTTCTCTGAATGGTCTTCATCACGTAGCCACATCTTATTGGCTTTGTGACATCATGCTGCCGGAACATAAACCAGAGCGTCTGCCCTCTCAACCTTCTGGATCCATGCCAGGGGTGCAACTATAGGGGGCAGAAGGGGCTTCAGCTCCCTCAATATTGGTGGGCAGGGGGCTGAGCCCCCCCTCAAATTGGACGGTGGCAGAGACGAGCGAGGTCGAAGATTGCTCTCCGCATGTTCCGCCCCCACCCAGTGCATGCTGGGTGGCGTAAGGTGACATGTCTTGTGGCCAGCCCCCTCAATTTAGGGGGCAAGTCAGCGCCCCTGATCCATCCCATGATTTGATTCTTACTTTGCTATACTAAAGCAATTCACAGCAGTTCATGGCAAAGACAACAATCACAAATAGTAAAATACAAAGCAGTTGTAAAGGCAGCCATTAAAACATCAAAGAGAAATAATAATAATAATAATAATAATTTATTATTTATACCCCGCCCATCTGGCTGAGTTTCCCCAGCCACTCTGGGCGGCTCCCAATCAAGTACTAAGAACAATACAGTGTTAAATATCAAAAACTTCCCTGAACAGGGCTTCCTTCAGGTGTCTTTTAAAGATAGGATAGCTACTTATTTCCTTCACATCTGAAGGGAGGGTGTTCCACAGGGTGGGCGCCACTACCGAGAAGGCCCTCTGTCTGGTTCCCTGTAACCTTACTTCTCGCAATGAGGGAACCGCCAGAAGGCCCTCGGCGCTGGATCTCAGTGTCCAGGCTGAACGATGGGGGTGGAGACGCTACTTCAGGTATACAGGACCGAGGCCGTTTAGGGCTTTAAAGGTCAGCACCAACACTTTGAATTGTGCTCGGAAACGTACTAGGAAAGAGGCAGGCAGTTAGGGGGCAAGAATGCCTGGATAGCTCAGTTGGTTAGAGTGTGGTGCTGATAACAGCAAGGTTTCAGGTTCGATCGCAATACGTGACAGTGGACTATTCCTGCATTAGACTAGATCATCCTCAGGATTCCTTCCAACTCTACAATTCTATGTTTCTAAGTGTAGATCCCTAGGTAAGCTGTTCTGCTATCTGGGTGTCACAACTGAGAAGCCTCCCCCCTCCCCCATCATGTCCACTGATTGCTTCAGACAGGAAAGGAACAGAGAGAAAGTCATCTGTAGTGGAATCAAGTTCCTGGCAGGTTCATACAGGAGAATGCAATTCCAAAGGTACCTTGGCCTCAGACTTAAAGGTTTGTAAAGGTCAAAGCCAGCACTGTGAATTGAGCCTGGAAACCAAACAAGGAACCACTGCAGCTGGTGAAAAATTTAAGTGATGTGTTTTGATCTCTTCAGCCCTTCCAGAACTCTGCTGCCTCATTCTGTACCAGTTGAGGTTTGTAGACAAAGGCAGCCCCATGTAGAGCCCATTACAGCAATCCAATCTTAATGGGACATACTTCTGAGTTAACATGCAAAACATCGCATGGTGCAACCTTTACCCAAAGTTTATTTTTAGCAACATCTAACATCTCAGGAATGGCACATTCACAACTTAGGAGGGAAAGTACTTCTGCTCAGAATGAAAACAAAGGGGGAAAATAACAGCAGTTCTTTCTCACCACCATGAACATTTGCCCCAGGGAAATGTAAAAAAATAAAATAAAAGGGGAAATAATGATTTTTTTAAAATTATTTTTTATTTTTTTTGGTCTTGGCCTGACAAAATGTGTTTCTTGATTCCTTAGTGAATTAAATAATGTGTTCGCAAAATGGCTTTTTGGACTTGATGGATCTCTTGGGGTTGCATCCAGGGAAGTTTCACAGCCTTTCAAGGCAGCTCAGTATACTCTCTCTCTCTCTCTCTCTCTCTCTCTCTCTCTCTCTCCCCCCTCTTTGCTTGGACGCTGCTTAATGTCCCCATTCTTCTCTGGCAAAATGCATTGTAAACTCAGTTTCAGAAACAGAATTGTATCCTGGAAATACTATGAGTTAATGTAGCTCAAGTTCAGCGTTGGAGGCCATTGCACAGCAATTGAGATGCTAATTAGGACAATTAGAAAGAATTCTGCCTTCAAACCCATTTAAACATTAAGCAAAGCTTCAAAAAACTTTTTTTAAAGAACATTTGCTTCCAATTTCATGTTTATTTATCATTTACAGATATTATACGGGAAAAGAACTATTGGTAAATTCCCTAACCACCCCCCCCCCCCGAAGAGGAACAGATTCCTGTACAGTTAAAGCTTGAGATGGAATGAATCTCTCAATATCCCAGGTGGGTTAACATGCAGAAGTGGCGATATAGCTTGCTTGTTTATAAAATCAAAGAGATAATGACAGGAGATGCAATTCTGTATTCACAATGTCATTAAAATCTTATAAATCTAAGAAGCTTGGAATAAATAACAAAAAGGTGGAAATCAAGCATATTTGATATTGCTGATCTAATAACTTCCTAGCTGGGAGAAGGGGCAAGAGCAGCACACTGTTTGGATTCTAGGAATGAGAAATTGCAACAAATGCTTGCAAAAAAAAAATTGGCTGCCTTAAGGGTCCACACTTGGGTAATGGGTCCATTACTGTCACAGAGAGTTGCCTGTTTAAAATAGGGGAACCTGTGACCCTCCAGAATTGTTGGAGCAGAACTTCCATCATCCCAGACCATTGGCTATGCCGGCTGGGATGGATGGGAGTTGGAGTCCAACAACATCTGTTCCCTATCCCTAGTTTAGCAGCTGTCAACAGGAACATAATATAGCCTACAACAAAGGTGTAAGAACTAGAAGGAGGCAACTGGTTGCACATTAAGTATTTCCTTCCAGCTGACATAGCAAATAGCTGGAGCACATGCTAAAGTAGGTGTGAGGAACCTTTGGCCCCTCAAATGTTGCCAAATGTCAACTTCTATCATCTCTGCTCATTGGCTGTGCTTATTGGGGCTGATTGGAAATATCAGGAAGGCCAGTTTGTTTTCAGTGGTTTTTAAATTACCCAATAGCAAAAGTTCTCTGGGTGGTTCACAAGTACAAATTAAACCGTAAAATTAAAAAATGCACCGTGAAAACAATTAGCAGCAAAGAAGAATATTAGTACAGCACATCTATAAAGTACTCAAAATGTTTAAGGCGGAAATTAGCCTGCGGAAATTAAAAGGGCATTCGTTTGCAAGTGGCCTTGAAGGGATCATAATGTAGACATTAGGCAAGTCTCTCTGAGGAAGGGGGTTTCCATACTCTGGGCACCAACAATGACAGCATTTGTTTTTCCTTACACTCTGCAGAGATTGTTGCTTCCGCACTGGAATTTTAGTGAGCAGCGTCAAGCAACCCACAAATGCTCCTAGATTACAGAGACCAAATTCAGCTCTCTTGTTTCCGTCTTATTGTCATCCGTACTGTATGCTAGCTGTCCTCTCGGTCACTCCACCAAACTTCTGAGGGCAGCAGAACTAACAAGAGAGCCACCTCTGTCAGTCCTAAGACCCTAGAGGTCTGTAGGTAAGGAGGCTATTTATCCTAGCTTTTTAGTTGTAGTTTCCTTGAGAATTAATGTGCCTTACAACTTGAGCTGCTGTCCTAAATTAAGGAAGGAAGGAAGGAAGGAAGGAAGGAAGGAAGGAAGGAAGGAAGGTAGGTAGGTGTCCTGGCTCAGTTCATCCTTTGCTGTCTCAAACCCTCAATCTTAAAATGATATATTTGAGATTACAATATTTGTATATAAATGAAAGCTGAGTTAGAAGCACCCTTGTTGTGTTAAATGGAAGCATAAATTTCTTTTCCAGAGTCCATTCCAAAAGTATGCAGCAGATGGGCAGCACTGATTGGCAAATACCTGTGATATCATCATGCTATCATGCACGGGCCCCCTAGAGCAAGTTTGCAAAACATGTTTAATGGGGATGAATAGTCAGATATACACATGAAACTATTAAAAATCAGACAGCCCAACTGGAACATGGGTAAGAGTGCCAGCTACGCCAGCATTTGACTTGATAGCATACACGTCAATCATGCATATTGTGAATCTGAATAATCTCCACATGTGAAGGACCCCATGTGATTCCTCATTAAATATGATTAATGGCTTCACTCTTAGCTCTATTTTTGTTAGATGTGCAAGGAGAATCAAATAACAGAGTTATTCATTCATAGAGGGCCACCTTGGCAACATTTTGAGAATGTTTGCTCTAAATTCGTATTTATTTAGAACTGGGAAAACAGAAGAAAGTAGGTACACACCCAGGTCCCATTGAAATCAGTTGCTGTTAAGAAGATCTAACTTTCCCTAGAATGCGCCTTATGCCTTTTGGGGGTTGTGCTTCTGAGTTCATCTTTTCTCCTGCTATGCTGATTCTTTTCAGAACCATACTGGCAGTCCATCATCTGAATTAAATTATGGTTTATTCTCTACATCAAAGCTCCTTTGTCCTTGCCTTTATCCCTTTTTTCCAATGAATTAGTAAAAATTTAAATTTCCCTCTGCTTTGGTGGGTTTCAGTACAAAAATAAAAAAAAAAGAGAGTTATGCTCAAAGCCTTATCTCTTTTTCAACAATAAAAAACACATGTCTATCATCTCAAAACTTATGTGGTTCTTGGAAAACACTTTCAGGATTTCCAGTTCACATTAGGTAGGAGAGCTTGCAAAGGCTTTCTTCATTCCAGCTTTATCCTCTTAGGTGGTTGTTGGGGTCTAGACTGATGTCCCTGGTGGTGGTCAGGCCGGGAGCAGTGGTGGACTTGGGGATCTCAAATTTCAGCAGCGCCCTGTGCAACATCAAAATTTGGCGCCCCCACCTCTTGCTTTCTTAAAAAAGTTTAAACTCCTAAATGGCGTTTACCACCTGAATGAAAGCTAGCTCGATGTATAGGCAGATACAGTGCTTTTTTTCCTTTAAAAAAAACGTTTAGGGGTACTCTCATTTTGAGACAAGAAAATCACCATTTTATAGTTCAAATCAGGGAAAATAAATACAATAAATGGACAAAAGTACAAAGAACATTCATTACATCATATTACACAGCTGACAGCTCGCTTCCATCTGAGAGTCAGGAAACACCGTGACAGGAAATGAGGCTGCCATCAGGGGTAGCAATGGAACTGATGGTTCACCATGCTAGAGAAGAAACTAAAAATGTTAAGATTTTTTGTTTCTAAACAAAATGTTTAGGGGTATGGGTACCCCTGGATCCCCCCAGAAAAAAAGCACTGGATAGATATAGTAGATATAGATAGACAGATGATATAGATAATAGGGGTTTTTCAAGTGGATGCCATTGCCATTGTAAGAGAACGAGAGAAGTTCATGGTGAGCTCTGGCACCTCTTTTTCTTGAAAAATATCACTGGATAGATAGAGAGATAGGTGATAGACAGAGAGATAGATGATGATGATGATAGATGATAGATTATAGATAGATAGATAGATAGATAGATTGATAGATAGATGATAGATAGATAGATAGATAGATAGATAGATATAGATAGATAGATAGATAGATAGATATAGATAGATGATGATAGATAGATAGATAGATAGATAGATAGATAGATAGATATAGATGATAGATAGATATAGATAGATAGATAGATAGATAGATAGATAGATAGATATAGATGATAGATAGATAGATAGATAGATGATAGATAGATCGATATAGATGATAGATAGATAGATAGATAGATAGATGGTAGATGATAGATAGATAGATGATAGGTGTGATCCCATGCTAGAGTTCCACAGTGACTGATCATGCAGTCTTTTTTTTAAAAAAATGATGCTTTAAAAAAAAAATATGACAAAATCCTACAGGTATGCAATCATGGCTCAGTTGGCAGAGCATGAGACTCAATCTCAGGGGCGTAGATTTGAGCCACATGTTGGGTAAAAGATTTCTGCATTGCAGGGGGTTGGACTGGATAACTCTCGTGGTTCCTTCCAGCTCAACAATCCTGATTCAACGATCCCAATTCACATAAGAGAACTCATGAGGCT